CCCCCCCCCCAAGACACATGTCCTGCAATGTCATACTACTTTTCCCTGATGCCTCTCACAAGTCTTAGACGGCTACAAACCGCAGGGCCATGGCAACTCACACCTGTACTTAGGCTGACAGAGGCCCAGTGCGTGCACCAGATCATGTTAGCCCTGGGGGGAGGATGCAACCTGCCCCTACCTACCCAAGTTTCAGCAAAATCAAAGAGGGTGGAATGGATAGAGAAAAGGCCTCTTAAAATCCAAGTATATCACTTGCACAGTGCAGAAATTCCCATCAATCTGGAAGCCCTGCTAGATCTAAATCTGGGATCCTACATTGCAGATTTCCAGAATTTCCCAGATGGTCCATCCTGTTGCCTCCTCATTCTTATAAACGGATCTGGACACTACATAACTTCCTCATCACAATATTCCCTTTCCATCTCACAAATCCCACCACACAGCCCTTTGAACTCACCATGAATTGCCTCAAACTCATCCCCCTCCAAGAAGCCAAATACAAAATTCAAATAGGCAATGGAAAGTCTTTCTTCTACTCAAGTGAAACTAACCAAGTGCCTTTGCAGCTTCTATCCAGGAAACCATCCAACTTGGAATGGCTTCTTGCTGTTGGGCTGTATCACACGGCAGTCAAAAACCCCACCATCAGCCGGGAGATCACATATATGGTGGCCATCCCCACCTGCAAGCCTTGGGTATATTCTTGCTGCCCATCCAGTAGGACAGCAAGGCAATGTGGTATTCCTTTTGGTGGCAAAATTTTATATTTTTATTCTAGGATATTTCTCTCTTATTTTATACATGTATTGAAGGTTTCACAAAAATTTCCATTATTTTTTTAATCATAATTAGCATGTACATACACAAATATGCTTGTATAAAACCTCTCATGTTATTTATTTCTATTTTAATATATTTTGTAGAAGTGGTGAGGCACATGGTGGAGGATCCTCACTAAATCTTGAGAATGTCATGTGGGAAATACAGTGGGTAGTCAAAAGCTCCACATGATAAGTTGCATTGCAGAATTGGAGGTGACAGCATGGCAGGTAAGCATCTTTTCTGGAAGAAGCATGTGTTGGCAGCATCCAGGGTGCATGGAACAACTAGAATATTCCATTGAACATCTTCAGTTACATCATAGTGGAGGACATGCATGGTTAATAGGCAACCTTCACAGCATGACATCATAAATTCACAACACCTGATTGATCCCACCCATAATAACTCCCCACTGGCTTTTCTCACCTGAAAAAATATGTCAAAACTGTCTAAAAGAGGCTCTCCTCTCAACTCATCCCAGAAGATCAATAATTCCCTTCTCACATCATTTGTAGGGGTAAAATCAGTAAATGTTATTATATATTATTTGGTTTTTATTGCAGCACCTTATTAGAGGAGTTTATAAGTACAATTTATTAAAAACATTACATTATACACTGGCAGAGTCATTAATCCCAGATTTGCATGCCATATACAAGCCCTTCACCACTAGTGATCAGTGTGTTGACTAAAAGACACCAACTTTCACTTACATAACTTTTAAACCTAGCTTGGGAGTGTTGTATCTGATATTTCAGAAAGGCAGAGGCTTCCTCAATTCAT